CATACCCGAAATACAGAAAAAAATCTCCTATAAAAAAATAATAAGAGAAAACCCAACTGTAAATATAAGCAAAGGACAAACAGGGCTGTCACTATAGAGGATGTCCTAACGAACAATAAGCATATAAAAAGGTGCTTATCCCCCATAGTTGACTATAAGGGGGCTGCATATGGAACCACAGTGAGATGCCACCACACGTTCACCAAAGTGGTGAAAATCTTAAAGTTTACCAAGTGTTAGTGAAAATACAGAGCAACTGGAATTCTCATACCCTGTTGGTTGAAATCAAAATGGTAAAACTTTGAAAACCTTTTTGGCAATATCTACTGAAGGTGAACATGTCCATACCCTTTGACCCAGAAATTCATTCCCAGTATATACCTAAAGGAAATGCATATGCATGTGCACCAAAATGTTATTAACACAAGAGTGTATGTACCAGCATTACTCATAACTGAAAACAACCCAAATGCCCACCAAGAATAGAATAGAGATGCTGTGATACAGTCCTACCATGAAATATTATGCAGCAATGAAAATACATTACCACCATATAGAACAGCATGGATAAACCTCATAGACAATGGGAACCAAAAAATCATACACTCCATATTGTGTGAGTCAATTTTTTCAAGTTCAAAAAGAGGCAATATTAATGTATGGTAATACATACCAGTATGGTGGTTACTTTGGGGTGGGGGGCAGGTAATCACTGGCAGGGGATATAAGGGAGGCTCTGAAGTGCTAGCAAAATGCTAGACCTTTATCCTACAGTAATTACACAGAAGTGCTCACTTGGTAAAATTCACTGAGTTATGGCCTCAGTATTTGTGCACTTCGTTATATGCATTAAATGCTATACTTATTAAAGTTTTTTTAGTGGTAGCAGTGAGGTCTAGGGTGATTTTAAGGAAACTATTCTTTATAAAGATGAAGGCCTAACATGGATGGACCTTGAAGGTATTACACTAAATGAAATTAGACAAGACAAAGCTGTATGATCTCTCTTATATGTTGGCTCTAAAGACAAAAACAAACCAAACAAAACCCACACACAACAACAAACTCATAGGAAAAGAGATCATATTTGTGGTTACAGGAGGTGGTGGGGGGCGGAAAGGGGGAGGGTGAATTGGAGGAAGGTGGTCAAAACATACAGACTTACATACAAGGGATGTAATGTACAACATGATGACTATAACACTGTATAAAGGAAAGTTGTTTAGATAGTGGGTTCTAACTCATCAAAAGGAGTTATTGAAAAGGAGATCACTAAATGCACCCCATTTCATGTTTGCCTGAAACACACACCCAAACACAACAGAAAGCTAGGTAACATCTTCAAAATTAAATCACGGTCCCTTTACAGATCTAGTATTGAGAGACAGAGTTAATACCTGACATAAAAATTGACTGTTAAAATCTGCCTTCATCTGTTATATTTTAAGAAATTTTTTAAAACAACAAATTATCTTATCAGACCCCATATTCTTACTGAGGAAGAAATCCAAAAAGTGATTTTCCCAACTTCTTAGATGTGCTTAGGGAAAGAATCAAGACCAGAACCAGATCTCCTGATGCTCAACCTGTCCCCCAGCTAAAACAGACTTTATATCATATGTAAATTAGAAAAGTGCTAAAGATACCTGGGGGTAGTAGCATATTTTCCTCCTTTCAAGGGCAATATTTTAAAATATGTTACTGTGAATTCTACTATTTTACTTTCAGTTCAACTTCTACACATAAATTTATGACAACAGAAGAATCTTTGAACCATATCAATTTCCTCCTACTTTGAAAATGATATTGAGAGGAAAAAACTGAAATTGACAGGGCCATTAAAACATGACAGCAAGTTTTTAATGGTCTTCCCTCGAATCTGACAGTTCAGATCATTTCTTATTTCACCAGAAAACTTCAACTACAAAGTCAGACTCTGGTATCCTTGAAACCAGGGTTGATTTCAACACTTACTGCAATTGAAATTTTCTTAATTTCTGTCTCAATTTAAGAGCACAGCATGTTGTATTTCTAGTATAAGCTCCACTGATGAGGAACTATCAGAAATAAATGGGGCAATAAATGTGAAAGTACCCAGGAAATTTGAAGTTATTATAACACATGGAAGGCCCTGTATAAAAAAAAGGTCTATAAGCGTGTTGCTGATGGAAGTAAGACGCACTATTCTTATGGGTGAATCATTAGATGCATTTCTTTTACAATCAGGAGCAAGGCAAGGATGTCCACTATCACTGCTTCCTTTTAACACTGTAATGGAGGTTCTCGCCAGTGCAGCATGACAAGAAAAAGATTAAGAAAAAAAATAAATAAGAATTGGTGAAGAAGCAAAATTGTCCTTATTTACAGATTATATAACAAAGTAGCTGATTTAAGATCAAGGTATTATTAATGTTGACTCAATTTGGTGCAAGGTATCCAGAATGAAAACTCGAAGGCACACTGCTGAGCGTGTGAGGTATGATGCTGGATATTATTCTAGAAATTAAAATGGCAGAACAGGAAGACCATACTCAGTAGGCTTCAAATCACATAGCAGCTTTTGGGGATATGGGGTGGTCATAAAATGAAAGGCTATGGTTCCAATTAAACACAAAAAGCGTAGGAAAGTGGAAGCACCAACTTGAGAAGAATATCCAGTTCTAAGTTACTCATCAGTTTGCTGTACTGTTTGTGAGTTATCACATCCCGAGGCTTCCGCGCATGAGCACCTGATGAGCCATGATAGCAGATCAAGAGGAGGAGGCACTGCGTTGATTAAAACCCACGTGGCCTACATGGAAGGACCCCAGCGGATTTGGTCTCTCAAACATTTTCTGATCTATTAGTCCCTGCTCTCCTCCACCATCAAAGACTGTTGTGAAGCTAACGTTTAGGTAACTTACATTTTAGTACAATATAAGCTTTAGCAACTTTTATTTACTATTGTGAATTTTGAAATGTTTTTAATATGATTCTTTGGTTTTCTGCATTTTCACAAAATCTAGTGCCCTTTATTCAGCAATTAGAAAGTATCTTAGGGCTACAGTTTTATAATAGTCTTTACTCAGAAAGAGCTTTAAAACTGTCTAATCATATATATATATATATATATATATATATATATATATATATATATCTTCTAAAATGGCTACACAAGCTGTGTGAATTACTAATGAATATTTTCTACTGAATTCAAGGTTGGATCATTAACCTGTACTATCAAAGCAAGGAGTATCAAATATTTAAATGTACCAACTATTTAACTTTTATCTTTCTGTTTAACAGCATTTCAGATATTTCCCTCTAAATATTACATAATGAGGCAAATACTGTTTTTACTACAATGGAGCAAAATTGTAAGTCATAGGCTGCAAACACATAGAACCATCTGTTTAGTTATGGGGGGAAAAATCTAGCATCAATCAGAGAAAACGAGGGAAAAGTCACTGATTGGCTTAAAATATACTTAATTCTAGGAGGAAAATTTTATTCCATATACCATAAGCCAGACACTTCTATATAAACTTAGAAACTATATAAATTTTGATATCTTCCTTATACAAGTCAGAAGCTAATTAGCTTGTAGAATTTCAAAACAGGTGGAAACTTTTTAAAATTATTACTTTTTCCTTTTACAAGCATATAATGACTATATCATGCATTTTTGTGGTGTTTGATGATTTGGGGCATTTTTAAAACTAGATGATGTATCACTCCAGAAATCGTACACTCTCAGAGCTTCAGTTATTTATGCATTTCTAGCTCTGAATGATATATCCATATAAAAATAGTTCCTCATCAATGTATATATATTTAAAATCCTCCAAAACACTATATCAAGAAAAAATAAAAAACAAGATAGGACTGGGCAGAGGACTAACCCACAACCATGCTAGAAGGACTTTAATGGGAGCTGAGTCCTTTGCAGAATTAAACATCATTCCTACTTGGTCAGCAGACACAGGCCAGTGCGTTTTCAAGTGCCACCTACAAAACCAGTATATATAGAACGACGCTGATATATGAATATACTTCTAATTACCTACTGGCTAATCTTTGCTACTCCAAAGGCTCAATTTGATTATTCAGGAAGTGATTACTTAACTTACAAATTAGCCATGGTGTTTACTTTCCCCTGTACTATTACAGGAGTTCTGTGTATTCATTAACTATTCCTTAAGAATCCACTGGCATGGGAGCTGAGGACACTGTTGATATCCCCACCACACTGTGTAGGGCAACTTAGGTTTGAGGGTAAAGCGCTAAATCTTGCTTAATGGACTTGGTAATTTTGAGTCTTTGGCCTCAATTAGCATTGACAATATGAGTTAACCATATATAATGATTTAAAAAGTCATTCTGCGTTGCCGATAGAACCCAGAGAAATGAATAATCTGATGATTCTCTGCCACCAACAGAGACAGAATCTTTTGTATCCGAGCAGAGCACATTTAATGAAAATCAGGAAACAGTTTTCTCCCAGGCCTACTAATAATGAGGGAGAAGAAAGACTTCAACGTGGGACATAAAAACTACACAAAGATGTACAATAACTCAGAGAATATCAGCAACAGCAGATACCTTGCCAGTATTCCAAAACAGGTGCCTCACTGCTTCTCATTCTCGCCTATTGTCAGAGTTGAGACAACTGTCACATTATCTTGTCAGCAGGGCAGAGTCATCGGGAGTCCTCTGAGCCGTGATTGCGGTCGCCTGAGAGGGACCGTCTGTTCCTGTCCTGTTAGCAGCTGAGCCAAACTCAGGCCAGCCTGTGCCTCCTGCCTCACAAGGAGGCATGGAACACGCCACCCAAATTCTAGGACCCAGGTAGTATGCGTGTAAAGAATTAGGACTCACTCAGGTAGAGTGAGTGTAAAGCAGGGAATACGGCACAGTACAAATAAGAAATAAAGACAGAATAAAAATCTGAAACTCTTGAAGATGGTTTCTAAAATACCGCGGTGCAAAATAAATGAGAAACAACATGGTGGAGGGCCCACCTTGCAGATCTTGTAGAGCGACTCCTGGCCGTCTCCTCCGGTATCCTTAAAGTAATCGTGTGCAGGAAACGTACGATGAATGTCTCGAGTAATGACACTCTCCTGGGCTGAGTCCTGAAAAAGAGAAAACTTCTTTTTAATAACGAAAACTAATATATATATATATATATATATATATATATATATACATGGTTAAAAAAAAAAAGTCAAACAGCACATAAAATGTATGCCCCCACCTCCCCGAATGTCTTCCATCCCAAACCCATAGTCCCAATCGCCAGAGATAAATGCTAACCAATAGTTTTTTTTCTTTTTTTTTTTAATTAAAGTTTATTGGGATGACAACTGTTAGTAAAGTTACATTGGTTTCAGATGTACAATTCTGTAATACATCATCTATATAGTACAGCGTGTGTTCACCACCCAGAGTCAGGTCTCCTTCCATCACCATATATTTGATCTCTTTTACCCCCATCTACCACCTCCCTCCCCCCTTACCCTCTGGTAACTATTAAACTATTGTCTGTGCAATAGTTTCTTTTGTATCCTTTCATCCATCTATCTATAGGTGTATGAATGCATATTTATGGGAGGGGAGTTGTATACATACATCTCCATCCTTTGCTTTTTGAAGCACAAATAGAAGCAAACTATCTGCTCCATGCATGTAGTAGGATAACTTATAGAATATTCCTTATCAATACCTGCAAATGTATTTCATTCTCCTTAAGAGCAGCTATAAAAAAGAAAGAGGTACATCTGGATCTGGATGTATCATATTTTTTTTAATATTCTCCTAATAATGATTTTTTTTGCATTTTTCTATTTATAGTACAAATGATATCACTAGGAACGTTTTCATCCATACATGTTCAAGAATATGTTTCTAGAGGTAGAATTGCTAGGTCAAGAGCATGTGCATTTCCATTTTTGATAAAGATACTTTCCCTCCAGAGTTGTTGTACCCATATGTAGCCCAAACAACGGGAATAGTTTGTGTTCTCCACATCTGCTCAAGACCACATTATCTAACTTTGTAATTTTTGATCAACAGAGAACTGAAAACTCAGACAGACCACAGTAATTTAAAAAGTAAAAATATTATCAACCTTTCCCCCTGATAGATTACCAACTCACTCACTCCAAAAAATAAAAAGCCCCAAACTACTATATTAAGATGACATATGCTTTAAAGATAAATCTAGAGAAGTTGTTCAGACAGATCCAGAATCCAAAAGCTCAAAATTGAGTAAAACTCTAAACCTTACAAAAACGATTCCTCACTCACTTGATTTCATTTTATTCCTATAGAGTTTGTTCGTTTTATCTGTTTAAATGTCAAGAAAACAGGATGGGACTACTTCTAGCAACCCTGATGATGGACATACCTTGCACAATTTAAGGACGCATCAATGACTACTATTGCAAATTGAAATTATTGTTTCATGTCTTGCTTCCATAAAAACTTGAACAAATCCTCTCAGTTAACATCAAGAAAGGAAAAAAAATGTTTAATATATGAGTAACTTTAATGTATGCTATTTCCTTTCTCTCTCTAGCTGAGAAATATGTAAGAAGGAAATAGCTGATTAGCTCGGCGTTAAGTCAGTGTCTTCCCTTGCTGCCTTTTTCATTTCAGCTGCCATTTCATGCTGGGTGGTAATTAGATCTTATATCATGTTGAGAAGGACACAAACTGCAAAGTTCCACATTTTGCTATAATAGCAAACACCAAACATATGGCAAATCAGTCCAGAGAAAATCCTGATGGTGCACAGGAACGGAATGTTACAGTGGAATTAACATGAAACCTCAAAAAATTACCATAAGTTAAGTAAAAGGACATGCAGAAAGTTTACAGTTAATAAGGTAAACAGAGTTTCTAATGATAATGGTAAAGAATATTTTGCAGTACGGTGGGGGTATAGAACAAGGTAAATATAAAGGTAGTGTATAAAGAGTTATACTATGAAATTATGTTTTATCTGCCCTGGTATGGAGCGGAAGCAGAACAAGCTGGTACCAGGGAGAAGAAAATTTCCACTGCCCATGTCGTCTCCAAGAGAAGGATTCTCTTTCATACAGTAATAGTTTCTACTTACAAACTAGTTAAAAAGATGACCAATAAAAATGGTACTACTACCACAGCTGAACTATTTCAGGGGCAAACAAGTGCCAAGTGGTTCACAGGATAACTCTTTTTTGCACTTTTCAAGATATTAAGAGAGAGAAATCATTGTACCATATTCCCTAGAAACCACCTACTCATATGGCATCATGCTGTGTTTAAATGGTACCAACAGTCTGATTCAGAGAAAAGGAAACTGATCAAAATTTTCTAGAAAGTAACTTTGCGTAATACTGAGTAATTTTTTTCCATGCATATTTGAATGTTCCTTGTTCGTTTGTTTAAAAATAAAGAGGCAAAAATCAAATGAAAATAAAAGTCATAAATTTTTCCTTACTTAATAAACTTTTCCTTCTTAGGATTCCTTTTAAATGCTTTCTACACATGTGTGTTTCTAGAATTTGCTTCCTACAGATTGATTTCAGTTGGCTAAGGTAAAAAAATTCTGGAACTTCACTTTGTAGACTAAATAAGCTATTTTGCTACATCATCCATTGTTCCCTTTCATATAAGTGAAGGTCAACAGGTACACTAAACTCTAATAAATAGACTAATATGAATGAAATTGTGCACTAGACTATAGAAAATAATCTTGTTTTGAAGCAAAAGCTAAACTTAACCACCTCCCAATTACCCATACTATTGAGACTAGGAGCTGTATACAGAGGGTGCCAAAAAATGTATACACATTTTAAGAAAGGAAAAAACTGTATTAAAATTGTAATAATATATACCAATAACAAAAGATGAATACAAGTCATGTGCATACATTTTCTTGGCATCCCCAGTATATTTCAGGAATCCACACCTAATCCCCCAAATTCATTCACTCACTCATTCAAGAAATATTAGAGTCAGGGGATCACCAAACCTAACACTCTGTAAAAGAAGGATAAAACAATTGTTCTCTTCAATAGTAACTCCTTTCTTTTCAGACTTATTCCAATTACAGTTGTCAATTGTCAAGAAATAAAATGAACAGAGAAGAAGGACAAGAAAGAGGCCATACAAGTATCTGGAGTTAAAAGGTTTCACACGAAAACCATGTTTTGGGTTTTTGGTTTTTTCTATGACTAAAAATATTTTATAGTACAACCAAAACCGATGGGAGGTTATTTTCTCAGAGGGTCCCCATCAGCAGAGTCGCCGTAACTTCTGCCAACCATCTTCAGAACGAGAAGAGAAAAGTCCCCCCGTCATGGGCAGCCACTTCACTAATATCCAGAGACTCACAGCTTCACCCAGTATTTACTTCCCAGTACAAGCAGCTTGCGTCCTGATGCTCAGGGCAGCATGGTGATGGAGTGGCCTTGGAGCCAGACAAACTCACTGCTTCTATATCTGGCTACTCCACTTAATACCTATAGCATCTCAGACAGCTTCGTTAATCTCACTAAACTTCAGTTTCCTCATCTGTAAAATGGGATAATACCAACTTCATGTCACTTAGAATAAAATAATGCGTGTACAGTGTTTAGCATACTGCCTCGCATAAAATGAGTATTCACTAAAGAAATAAATAAAAATAATTATTATTTCCCTCTTTCCTTAAGAATCACATCTAACTGTTTAAATATTTTGGTAAACATACATTTTAGACATCCTTCCCTATTTGTATACTCTAAATAATAACTGTTTTTCTTTGGATATCCTGAACAGTATGATTATGAAAGCAATCCCTGTAGAGTTTGCAGCATGATGATGTATCAATGCATAAACACACTGTTCTGAATTTCTTATCATGTACCTTATATGTCCTAAGTTATCCTTGTTTCTATTCATTCATGAATAAAGACAAAAGGGTACAATTATTTGGATAAGGTGATGTTTTTATTAGCTGATACACACTCTGGCCCCAACTTTGCATATATCCATGGAACAAAGAAAGATGTCAACAAGTACACTCAGAAGGTGGATGGGAAGGACAGGGTGGAGAGGAAGCTAAATTTGTCGGAGCGGCTACCACTTCCATCCTTTCTTCAGAATTTAGCTTCTGAGGATCAGGGCAGGGTTGAAGTCACAGTCATGGAGAGGACAAATGCCACTGTCACTATTGCATGCCTCCCTTTTGGGCCATCGTCACCAAGAATGGGACCGGTAGGCAAAGTCCTTGAGATCACCTTCTACTCTGCCTGAGGAGGGGTCAGGTTGGGCCACACACAAACGCTGACTCAGACCAGAAACAGGAGTAGTGGTGAGAGATGCGGAAGAAAGGCCGAAAAGTTGAGTTTTATTCCCTACACCCCACACCCTGACACACAACCACACAGAAACTAAATTTCTATTTAGTTTACCTTTCAAGGATTTGCTCTCATTTCCAAACCACTAAGTCATAAGACTAAACATCTTCAAAAAGACATCAATCTCTCATGCAATAGAATCCATGGTCCGACAAAGGATAGAAATGAACTTCCTGCAGATCAGTCGGAAACCAACCAACCCTAAGAGGTATGCTAAGTAGCTCAATTAACTTTTGATCATTTTAAGTGGGTTCTGTTTACAGCTTCTATCAAGAGTCTCACAAGAGCTGTTTGCCAGTATAACGTCTATACCCTGACAGTTTGTAACCCTCTTCATTCCTATTCCAAGAGCATCGTTATTTGCTTGTGAGCAAGAAGTGAATACAGGATTCACATGTCAATGAGTATTAGGAAGGCAGGTGTGGACGATCATGGCCTGTTAGTTTTTATAAAACAATTTCTGGACTGTCGACAACTGAAAAGGTACCTGAGTGAGGATGACTGTTTTCACATGTGACCTTAGCATCAGATGAAGTGTACAGTGATGTCCTGATAAATGAACACTTTGGCTGTCCCTTGATTTGCTACATTTTCACAGCCATGACAGCATCTTTTCTTTTTATTTATCTCTTGTCAAATCCAAAGAACCGCATTTTCACTTTTCATCTACTATAAAATCATTTCAACTTTCTAAGTCCCATGACGATGTTTTAGTGTCATTAAAAATGCCAGTGTAGACCAGGCCT